TCTGAATCAATGCACAGACCAGCTTTTATATTTTCACCAAACACTTGCACATGTATACAAATCAAACCAGAACACTTTGAACTTTTATTTTTGTTGTTGCAGTGAATTTCATTCTACTTGTCACGTCTCTAGAAATTTTTCGAAAATCAAATTCATGCCAATTTTTAAAAAATCATACAAATTAAAGTATTAGACTTAGACAACTTTAGTTTTTTGTATTAGATTAAGCTTGAATGTTACTTTACTGTGTCAAAAAATGATTACAATAGGGTAATTTTGAGAGTTGTGGTGATTTATTGAAGGGTGACCTTATTTAGGCCACATATGGCCTAAATAAGCTAAACCCCCCTCCCTTACCTTATTTGGGCCACAGGTGGCCTAAATAAGCTAAACCCCCCTCCTTTACCTTATGTAGGCCACACCTGTGGCCTGAATAAGCTAAACCCCCCTCCTTTACCTTATTTAGGCCACACCTGTGGCCTAAATAAGCTAAACCCCCCTCCCTTACCTTATTTAGGCCACATATGTAGTCAAAATAACCAAACCAATGTAAAGCATTGGTTTCTTTACAAGTTACATTATTATCTCTTTAAAACTCTTCACATCCATTTTCCTTCACAGCCGTATCGTACATGACATGTGATGTAGAATCAATTTAAGGTCCTTGGAAAGGGGACCAGAAAATAACAAAATTATTTTATGATCTTCACTTGCACTTGCAATTTTTTGGACAAATTAAAGTCTACCTAATTATATTTTTTCCCCTCATTTTTCTTCACTATAAATGACAACTGGCATGTATTGTTTTCAGTTATTATCAAGAAAGTGGATAGGCGGACTACGGGGTCTATCTAGCCAAAAGGATAGGTGGACCCCGGGGTCTACCTAACAAAATGTTAGGTTTTAGGATGTGAACCCCGGAGTCAGCGTAGTGAAATAAGTAGATCTAGGTTTAACTAAGGATCGGTGGACCCCGGGGTCAACATAATGTAATAAGTAGATCTAAGTTTATTTTATAATAGGACTGGCGGAGCCCGTGGTCAAAGTAGTGAAATTATAAGTAGATATAGGTTTAATTAAGGATTGGAGGACCACGGGGTCTATGTAGTGAAATCAGTAGATCTAGGTTTAATTAAGGATTGGTGGACCCTGGGGTCAATGTAGTGAAATAAGTACATGTAGATAGATCTAGGTTTAATTTTAAGGATTGGTGGACCCTGGAGTCAACGTAGTGAAATAGGTAGGTTTAAGGTGAACCCCAGGGTCTACCTAACGAAACACTAGTTAGGTTTTTAGAATAGATGGATCCTGCGGTCACCGTAGTAAAATAAGTAGGTTTAATCAAGGTGTCCCGGGGGTCCACCAATCCTTAATTAAACCTTCTTAATCCTCTATGGCCTTGGTGACTCCGGGTTCCACCAATCTTTAAAGAAACCTACTTATTTCACTGCGGTGACCCCAGGGTCCACCTGTCCTAAAACCTAGTACCAATCCTTACTTAAACCAAACCTTATTTCACTACGGTGACTCCGGGGTCCACATCCTAAAACCTAGTATTTCGCTATGCAGACCCCGGAGTCCACCTATCCTCTACAGGACTATACTATTATTATCAATTTGCAATTTTCATTGATTAGCATTTTTGTTTAAATATAATATTGAATCAGAGTGCAGGGGAGTCCGAGGCGCCCGGTCGATTCGGTGGTCGGCTTTTGTAGATCTATGCATTTTTTACGGAAAGCCGTATTACCTAACCCTATTACTAGATCTATTAGTGTTGTGAAAACTTCAACCTCTACAGCTCAGACGTCAAAAGATGCTGGTAAATAATAATAGATCTACGTCCTGAAGTTTCATAATTTATTTTTATACAGAATAACACAGTACACAGTCAGTAGTTTTTATTTCATCGAGTTATAAAAATGGCCTTCGTATAAAAATTGCCTTGTTTTCAGAAGCAAGTTTTAATAGTTCTAGTTCTATCTAATTGATTTTCATGCGAATTCAACCATTTTGATGATCTTTCTTTTCCTTTTAAGAAGATGTAGATCTAGGCCTGTCGGATGTGGCAGTGCGAATAGCACTGAGTTGTTTAGATCTAGATCTAGATCTAGACCCATCAAAACACGAGGCTTCGTGGCCGATCACAAAAGTCTACGGGGCTTATCGAGGCCGATTCGCCCTGCCGCGAGCACGTTCACTAAACTGCCTACTAGATAGAATCTACTACCAAATATTCTCTACACGATCTTTGCTACTACTACTACTAGGCCTACTAGCCTACATGTACTACTACGAGACAGTACGAGAGAGTGTCACTCAGGCAAAGATAGTGTAACTTTGACTCAGCCACGTAGTATACACACTTTTTATACCCCAAATTTAACCCGAAAGTCCATTCGGAGGATTTGACCTTTTCACTTGACCAAAGTGTGCCAAAATGGTAGCCTAGCTTTTGCCCCTCCATGAAGGAAAAATCCGGCCCTCATTCAAACCATTGGAATTGAGCAAAATTTTGCGTATTGTGCTTTGTTCTTTACAATATTCATTATGGTTATGATTTATAAGTTGTACACTGAGGCAAAACCATACTAAATGAGAAAGGTGCACCATTATGAAAGTGGAATGAACTCAGTTGCCTGAAAAGGGTAGTTTGAACATGTGTGGCCTAAATAAGCTAAACCCCCCTCCCTTACCATAGGGCGATAACATAAAGAAAGCCGAAACTTAAGCGGCTGAAGATCGACTCGGACAGGCGCCAGTAGGTGTCTGCTTGACTCCACATAGAGGGCGCCTATTGCCGATCCCTTTAAGCTCGCGTTGCATTGATCTACTGTTGTCTAGTCTGCCTACATCTACCGTATCTAGAATCTAGTTCTAGGTCTTGAGTGATTACAAATTTACAAGAATGGACTCGTCATCCGAGAGGGGGAGGGGGAGAGGAGGAGAGGGGGAGAGAGGGGGAAAGAGAGAGAGGAAGAGAGAGAGGGGGAGAGGGAGGGGGGAGGGAGAGGGGGAGAGGGAGGGAGGGAGGGAGAGGGTGAGAGGGAGGAAGAGAAAGGGAGGGAGAGAGGGAGGAGAAAGATCATCTTCCCGTATCCGGTAGAATGTCATATAAAATTGCAATATTATGTCATAAATGTGTCAATAACAAAGCTCCCTCATATCTTAGTGATCTCATCCAGATGTATGTTCCATCTAGATCACTAAGATCAGGCGATCAGTATCTTTTAAGAGTTCCTAGAAAAGGGGGTAAAAAATTAGCTGAAAGGTCGTTCGCCCACCTTGCTCCGTCAGTTTGGAACTCTCTTCCCCAACCCTTGAGACATAAAACATCTGAGTCTAAATTTTTTTAAATCTTTAAAGACACATTTAATGACATCTTTTTTTGTCTGTAGATTCAGGTTCAATACAATGTTATGTAAATGACTATGTATCCAGTTATGTATTTTGTGAATTGCATTGTGTATATTATTTTATGCTCATTTCGTGACGACGTGTAAGCGTGCGCGTGTGATAAGCAAGTAGATGCGTGTGTGCGTGCGTGCGTGTGTGTGTGTGTGTGTGTGTGTGTGTGTGTGTGTGTGTGTGTGTGTGTGTTTGGCGTACATGTGTGTGCACATGTGTGCGTGTTATGTGTTCGTGAGTGTGTATGTCTGTGTGTTTGTGTGTGTGTATGTGTGTGTGTGTTTGTGTGTGTTTGTGTGTGTGTTTGAGTGAGTGTATTTTTGTGTTTGTGTCGCGTGCGTGAATATTGTTCGTACATGTATTTTTATGTAAAGCGCCTAGAGCTGTGTTTACACGGGAGTGGGCGCTATAGAAATTATCTTCATTATTGTTATTATTATTATTATCATTATTATTATTATTATTGTAAATCGACATCCATTTTGACAAGACACGACACGACACAGCCAGATAAGCAGATCTCTAGACGCACAACGAAAAACTACACAGGCCTCGTCTCTTCAAAACCACACTCTATTGACACAGTAAAGCCGAGATATGTAGATCTAGAAAAAAATTAAATTAATTACATCACAACACAGCATAATATTTTGGGGGAAAAAAACACGAATTTTCTTAAATATTGCTTAAAATGCAATTCTGCTCGGTGACCACCCTATTTTGACGATGCTGATTTCAAAAATGTAATTAGTTTTTGTCTACCGTGAAGCACCAGCTCTGAAATGACCATTTAAAATTGTCCCCAGTCCAGTCGGGTGACATCACACAAACCGCTGAACCCGAGTTGGCGACGGCGAGACAGCGAGACGGCATTGGGAGTTCGCGACCTCGGTGCTTTCTTGTCGTACCTCCATTTTTAATAACAGTGAAAACAGTTCATAACAAAATGTGAGTTAAAGAAGAAGTCTCATTTTCACTGTTAAAAAATGGAAATACGACAAGAAAGCACTGCGGTGGTGAGTTGACAGCGAGACGCCCTTCCCATTTTTTCGGCGTAATAAGAATGTAGTTTGGATTCCGATAAAGCCGACAACTCCGATCCGAGTTTAAAGCCGCCTGCAGTCGGCCAGCTCTATGTGGGGCAAGTTGGAAATCATAAGAGAATTTTTATACCTATCGGCGCTTACTGAGTCAGTCTCCGAAATCGGCGTTCTCTATGTTTTCGCCCTTATTTAGGCCACAGTCCACTGTGGCCTAAATAAGCTAAACCCCCCTCCCTTACCTTATTTAGGCCATATGTGGCCTAAATAAGCACTCCCTTTATTGAAATACCCCCCAAAACGCCAGTCTTCAACGCTTGTGGCTGGTGAAAGGGCCCAGTCGCAAGTGAGTTAACTGGCATGATCAGCAGGCAGATCTATTTATGGATCCTGGAGAGGAAGGAAGAGCAGCTATGGTATTGTGTCGCCTGCAATGACGCCTATTCTCAAACTAAGTAAGTAAGTAGTATCTTTGCTGTTATCCTACTCCACCTGTTTCTTGGTTGTTGCCACTCAGTTCTATTTTCCAAAAACAAGCTTGATAGAACCTACCACTTTCAATGTCTGCAAGGAAGTTAGTCCACAGCACTTGATCAGGTTTCTTTGGGTTTCGGTATTGCTCCACCAGCATGTCAAACTGGTTGTCATTGAGGTCATGTTGACCCAGTTTACTGAGCCCCATGGATGCCAGTCCCCTCCGGAACTGAGGAATGCTAATAGAGCCACTGCGCAGCGGATCAAAATCTTGGAAATACTCGATCACCTGCAAGAACAATAGCAACAGAAGAAGTAAGAAGTGAGCATCTAAGCATGTTCATATAATAAATGTTCAAGTGCATATATAAATAGCATGGAATCTTTGATTTATAATCAAACCGGCAAGAAAACTTGCAAGATGCACTAGTCACATATATTCTAGTATAGGACAACTACTTTTCTCCTTGACAATGGGTGGCCATCTTGGACAATTACAACTTTATTTTGAATTTCACAAGAGGCAAACTGACTTTAAATTTTCTCCACATTATTTATATATGAATATGATGCACCCATTATGGTACTGGTATCATTTGCATACTAAGAAAGCACATGTCCCAGCTTTACAATCTTCCCACTCAGTAGATAGACATAATGTGTCTTGCATGAACTATAAATACTTTGTTCATGGAATCTCATTGACTGCTGTACATTTTCAGAAAGAACACACAACAACTAAATAGAAGCATACATTGTTATATATTTTTGACGCACTGAATCATCCCTTTTCCCCTGAGGGACATTTTTCTATTTATTTCTCAATTAGTTCCATCAAAATTAAAGGGATGCCTCCAATGTGATTTCAAACAATAGTTGATAAGAGAAGCTGCATGTGAGATGAAACACTGGAACTTGTGAGGTTTCTTTAATTTTGTAAATATTAAAAAGACTGACAGAGGATATGACTAATCAACAATGTGTAATCCTATTTTGCACACTTGTTTGTTTCTGCAAGATGAAGATCAAAAAGAAGTCAGCCTTGACTGTTTAGAACATACATTGACTGAACTCAAAGGATACGGAAGGCTATTCCACCTTTAAACATAGCCAATTTTGTCATCCAAATCTTTAACATCACAAACTTCCTGATAACTATGCTTTTATTCAACCTGTCTGCCTAAAATAAACACCAAACTGAGAAGAAATTGCTTATCCTTGCAATAAAATTTTTTATTACAATCAAGATGGATTTGCTCAGGTTTTGCTGAGTTTTGTTATGACAGTAAGCAACAGAGCGACACTGTGCACCAGCTGATCTGGCTCACTGTAAACTAAGAGTTGATAGGTGTTTTATATTGTCTCTGAGGGCTGGGCCATCTCCAAGGAAGCTTAACCCCATAACAAAAATGGAATCAACACATATGATCTTACCCTGAGTCTGCTTGCCAGCACAATGTGTCTGATCCTTGCCATTAGCTCCTCAAACTTCACAGGGGGACTCTCCACCCATTTAGTTTCTCCAACTGCTTGGGGAACCACATTTGTTCTGTTTGGATCTGAGATGTCAACATCATCCATTGTGTGCCCAACAAATTCTGTTGACAGATCAGAAGTTAATGACACATGAAGAAAGAAGAAGTTACACACAAAAGCTCGTTGGTATCACAGTAAACATAACTTACCTCTGAAAAAAAAAGATTTATATCAAATATATTGTTCTATTATTATAGAAAAGGTTTGACTTGAAAAGTTAAGCAGACAGCTAAACTGTAAACAGTTAAGAGGAGTCATTACGGAGACAAAAATAACATTTCTTAAATAAAACTGAAATAACAGTTTGAGCGATTTTCTGGTGATACTAGGGGAAAACTAAGGTATTCTGATTGGGATCTTCTAACCTTTGCATTGCTACATGGAGTCAGTTTGGCATCTCAAGCCTACACAATGATAATAATGAGCATCAAATAACTCACTTACCTTTAGCACAATATTATTTTAAATTGTCGTCAGTATTTCTAACAACATATAATAACTAAAGGCAGAGGGAATTTTGTGTGCTAAAATTGGTCAAGCTTTGATAGGTACATGAGGGGAAGAAATTATAGCCAAGAAAAATCCTATTCTATTTAAAACAAACTTTCATTTTTAAAACCTCTCACAAACACAATTTGTATTCTACAGATAAATCTCTCACCACGTAGGAGCACCAAATAAAGATAAAGAAGCATCAAAAGTTGTTAAATGTTAGTCCACTAACTCGTTTCTTGTTCAAAGTACCATAAACACTACATCATCAAGATTATCTAAAAGATATCTTTTATTTCTTTCCAAACTAGCACAATTATTTAGTACCGTAGTAAAAAACGGAACAGGTCTGAACCTACAACAAAATGTTACAGATGAAACTTCTATATTCACTATATAAGTTACAAAAAGTTAAACTGTCTTGTACATCCAATGTGTGCAAGATAATGTCTTTATTTACAGAAGTGAGCATTCTCCCAAACATATTTCTGCCTTCAGCACAACGCACATAATACACGATTCAAATTGTAAAGCCTGAAAAGAAAGGCTCAAAGTAACATTTATCTAAATAGAAGATAAAAAGAATTTAATCGTTACAACTTGAAGAAGAACAGCCTTCCACACAATTTAAGTGACCTCTGTCCACTGCCTGTACAAAAGCTGGATAGTTTACGTCTCCTGAAGAGGGATCCTGGAACTTGTTCAGAATCAGCTTAAGGTCTTCGTTGTTCACATTCAGTCCCAGGAAGTGAAGAATGCGTGCAAATTGAGGTGGTGTCACAACTCTGGTGTATGCTTTAGACTGTGAAAGTAAATCAATAAAGCACATTCCATCAAGTTTGAACCTCTTAAGTAAAAAAACAGAAGCAGTTCAGCAATATGAAATTGCTCACTTAAATCATTTTTAAAGAGGCATTTAAAGCTGTGCTTAAAAAGATGCTATTATTTGCATATACAAGGGCAAAGAACTAAAGTGGTCAAATAAGTTTTTATATATCAACTTTATAACTTTTATGAATTATGTGGTAAAGTTGCTTGCAAAGATGATTTGACCAAAAAAAACATAAGGTAAAACAACAGTACTATGAAATTTGTTTTATTTTTAAAAAAAGGTCTTGTTTGCTCATATAATTTTTGAACTCTAGTATTTGTTTTAAGTTATTTCTGAAAACAATTCATACAAGACTCATTTGAGGAAAGTAAAATATATCTAATTATGACACTGTAATAATAGTAGTTTACTACAGCTGAGCCTTACCCTGTCAAAATCTTTGAAGTACTGGTACATCATGATCCTGTCCTTGACCACTTTGTCAGCAATGGTGTTGAGGACTTCCATGAGGCGCTGCTCCTCACCTTCTGTCAGAGGCTTCAAGCCCTGCACATTAACAAAGTCACAATGGCTTTAACACGGAATGCTCCCTCCCCTCCAGAGTAAGACATTTGATTCTAATAAGTAAAGTATTATTATCTAAATCAATTAAAACTGTGTTCGAGACAAGAATAAAAATTTATGAAAGCTTTTTTGTCATACACATTCGTCAAAATGATGTACAAGCTATACATTTTTCATTTTAGCACAAAACACTGTTTTAAAATGGCCAAATTGTGTCAACAGCATTAAGTAGAAACATCCTTAACTGGGTTTTTTTTTTTACAGTATTTCAAACTAAAAAATAATAAACTGTAAAAGTTTACTTTTGATACTTACCCTTGTCAGTGTTCCCCTTGGTGGTCGTTGCACACTCTCTGTTGGTTTCTTCTCCAAGTCAGGGATGTTGAATGCTAAGAATAGAGGATGAAAATGATTTATTGTTCTCAATAAAGTTAATGTTAGTGGAACTGAATTTTATCTCATCTGATGAAAATCTTTTAAACATTTGTGAATTTGGTTAACCAAAGGTTAAAAACCAACAAACACAAGTAGCAAGTAGGATCTGTGTAGAAAAAGGCGCAATTCAATTTCATATGAAAACATTTTTAATACAAATTAGTATGAAAAAATATAGAGACTTTAGGTCTAACACAGTAAGAAAATATGAGGCTTAATTCACAAAATCTTCACAATAAAATTTAAGAATAGAAGTCTCAATACACGAACAAACATGTCACAAAATAATGACAGTATAAGGAGATTTAGAAAACGTTTTTCATTCTTGTATTTTGTCTTTGTAGAAGTTTAATGCCTCCATAACATTACATAGGTCATTTCAAAGATCAGTGCATTATACTCCAACAAATTATAAAGGCTAAGAGGAAAGCTCCTTGAATGATGCTTTAAAAAATTCAGACCCTCTTTGCATTGCAACCTTCAATGCCTGTATAGTAGGCTACAAATTGATGATTGCCTATAGCACACAGCTTGGAGCAAACACTTTTCTTCTTAACTCTCTAAACTATGTTGGTAGGAAAAATGTTATATCACTTTTGCAGTTTCCATCTCACCATTCTCCATAGCATCACAAAATTCTTTGTACTGCACTCTACCATCAGGGAGACGATAGTATTCGACAACCTTCTGAATTTCGGGTCGTGCCAGTTGGGCTTCTTTTCCACAGGCTAAGGCAAGCCCACAGACAAACTGATTCTCTGTGATAACACCACTCCTTAATTTGTCGTGATCTTTGAAGAACTCAATGGTGCGAATTCCATTCTTGAAAACAGCAACCCGAACTTTGTCAAGTATTTCTGATAGAGTTGGATCTGCAGAGGGCTGAAAAAAAAAGGTTGTCCATTAAAACAGAAACAATTAAATTTATCATGCTTGACAAACAACATACAGTACAGTGGAGATTGTTTTAATCAAAATCTGTTGGACCGTAAGATTTATTTCAGCTTCATCATATTTTACATGTAGAGAGATTGTTGAAATTGCATGCACACTTATAAAGGAAGTAATTCATTCCCAAAATCCCAAGCCAGTAACATCATAAAACACAATCACATTACATGCCATGCAGGTGCTCATGTGTACGTGAGTATGTGAACTAGTTCCACAGAGACAATATTCATTATCCTAGTGTCACTTTTCAAGGTGTGTAGTCCCACTGTCGTGTATAATAAACAATATACACTGGCAAAGCTTCTCCCTGGCCCACAATCAATGCACAAGCAGTCTAGTCTCATTCTTCTGTCTCGCCATCTCAAAGCAAGACTTGATGAGTCTCAATACTTGAGGAGTTGCTAGTGAATAATCAGACAACATAACCATCTAACTCTTTTCCATTTAGTAGAACTAGAAGCATTTCAGTTAATTTGTAGTTTCTAACAAAGACAACAAAGAAAAAAAGCAGTGATTCTGTTTCTTTCAGATTACCGCTATTCCCAGATCAACATTTTTGGTTCAAGTGATCTCCACTGTAATTCACTGTCTTACTTTTTAAAATTTTTATAATGTTTGACATTAGGATTAGCTGCAAATATTAATCACTTAATCTCACTTCACAGATTCACTTTCTATTATTTTTTTCTCTTTCCCTCTGAAAATTCAAAATCAAAAGCAGTTACAGCCTATCAACATTCATTTGTATGCCTGCACAACTATCTCTACAGCACATTCAAGTTCAAAAGTGGGAAGCCAACAACATATCAGTACAGTACACAATGTACTTACAAAAAGTGGTGTCATGTCCACACTTCTCTCCCTTGACCAGTTAGCGGGCTCCCTCTCCTTTTTCACATAGTTGTGGACTGCTAAGATATCATGATGAAGGTTCAGGTAGTTGATGAGCCCAGGACTTTTCGGGTCATTGTACTTTTCTACCAAAGTTTTCATGTCTTCCTCATCAACATCCAAAGGTCCAGGAAAGTTACGGTAAAACTGTGAAACATATTTGTCTCAGACATACTTGTCACGAATACAGTTTATATGAATCAATAAAGCTTTAAAGAAAATACCATTTTTGTAAGAGATTTAAAAGAAAATGAAAAGTAAACAACACATTAAAATATTCTTAAAATCAAACCTTAGAATATATATTATGACTGACTGATGACGGAAAGACCAAGGTTATACCCTCAGCCTTGGTGGTCAGGACCCCCTGTAATACACAAGCTTTGTAAGCCATTGAACTTCCCATTAATATATTCCCGTAATAAAGAAAATGTAAAGGTACTAAAGCATGGCAAAAACTCACTTCTCAAAGCTTTAGAAACCCTTTTGCAGGCAGAAATGGCATAAAAACAAAAGAGGACCTTGCCTTGAAACCATTTATAGATTTTTGCTTTGACAGAAGAATATTTTTCAAGCTTTTAATAACCCAGAAAGCAGAAACATCATCCGTTCGCTGCACATGTTTTCACAATTACTATTTCTTTTATGAACTTAGAAATACACTTATAATTATATCCACAAACCTGGCTTTCAGAAACAACTCCTCTGTGATGTCTATCAAAATCCTCATACTGGGTGCGCAGGTTGATGCCTCTGACCTTGTAGTATTGTTGCATGCGGCGCAACAACTCCACCAGCCTTGCTTCAGAACCCACAGAGAGAGGGCGGGTAGAGCGGACTGTACCAAGGCTGAAAATACAAGTGACAGAGTGTGATCTAACTAGTGAAAATATAGCAAACAGATAATCACTTTCAACTTACCCAGTTGCTGTGATGTAGTTGTCTACAAACTAGACTAAATGAAAAGTTTTAATTCTAGTTGTGTGCGGGAGTCTTTCCAATACCCCCCGAACATTTAAACCCATCCAAACATTTGCTGTGAGTGCGATAACAAATTAAAGTTTTTAACTTAATAGATCATTAACTTTCAACACACATCATCAGGAATCTCTTTGGGAAGTAATGACTATCATGAGAAGTGTATTGGCTGTATTACCTGTCCTGGGCAACAACATCATTGCACACCGGACAGGATCATGAGAAGTATTGAGCTTTCAAATAAAAGTAAAAATCATGCATCAAGTCGGGAAAAAAAGCAAATGTTCTCTTCCCCTTTCTCCTTCTTTTGTTCCTCCCCCTGCTCCTCCTACTCATACTGTTGCTGCTATTGCTGCCATAGTTGAAATGAAAACTGGTTACACAAGTCTGGAGGCCCATCTCAGTGACAAAGGTTTCAATATTTCCAGGTATCTTTCAGAGCCACAGACAGGTTACCCATCAGCTTCTCTTAAAAAATTGGCAACACAAGGAAATAAGGTTTAGGTAATCTCATTATTTTCAGTGTGAAAAAACATAATGCATCGCAACCCACTGTCTTTTTACATGCATAAAAAATTAACAAGCATTTTAGCTTTTAAATCTTTTGAATGCGTAACAATAAATTTTGTTCCCCTAAGCACTATTACAAATATCCAGATTAGACTTCTTGTCTCAACAGAGTTGAGTTGTCTGCTTTTCCCAAATGTTGGATGTATTATAAGCACCAGTCGACATGGAAACATTGGAAATTGCTTGAAAACACATGTAATATTCTCAAATTTTTATGAAATCTAAAAATTTCTCTCAAATTTCAAGGCAGGATAATGGAAGGTTGCTGGTGAGTTCTCACATTCACTATTTATATATGGTGGAGTATATGTCATCCAGTATGCATGTGGCATTCTGAGTATCAGAGTTGAAGAAATGTTGTAAAAATTTACCCCTTTTCTATTCAAGTGTTGAATTTGATTATAATATTTTATGAAATTGAGAATTAGTAGATAAACCCCACTATAGATTTCAGAACGTCAGAAAATATTCAAAAAATACGAGTTGATAGAAAAATTAGACTGTTATTAACGAATGCATAATTTAGCAAAATTTGTTAATTTCTGCACAATTTCAGATTATTTTCCTTTATCATTCTTAGTTAAAATTAACAGAATCGCATAATTTCATATTTTTGGTCTCAGTTTGCATTATTTCAGATTTTTTTTTGCATAAAACCGCAGGGATATAAAAACAAACAGTCAAATGCATAATTTAAACTTACTACTCCATGGGTATTTTCTCCTGTATCTCCGGAGGTGCATTGAGCTGATATGGATTGAAGTGCTGCTCAATTGTGTCGCAGAAACGTTTGTAATTAATTTTTCCATTGTCAAGCAAGCCGTATTTCATGCTCAATGCTCTTTCTTCGTCATCTGACAGTTTGAGACTCAGAGTCTGCCACAGACATCTGAAAAACTGGGGAACTGAAATAAATCATAAATGGTTAATAAATTATTAAATTACATTTTTCAGTCCACATAAATATGCAGTAAAAATTGTACAAGACAACCATGCATTGTCAAGGAGGATGGGTGGTCACTTGTATAGATGATTATCTCTTGAACAGGTGGTCTTTAGAGCAGGTTTGAATTGATTGCACAGGAGCTTAGACCAAAATAAGTGAACAAAGTGTTCTTTCAGAAAAGTTGTAAGTTTCCCTAACTAAATAGAAAACAAAAACACTGTATACAGTAGACCTATTCTGTACTAAGGAGAATTAAAAGAAATAATCTTTATACAGTGAACTTTTGTCTAAAGAGGGTTAGCAACAGAAGACTAAGCATCTTTTTTTTCTGAGACATGAAATACAAGACCTCTTTGTAAGTTACAAATAACTTTGATCTGCAAATGACTGAGGCAAATTCACACTGCTGAGATATTTTTAGATCATAAAATAAAATGCACTGACTGAGAAAAAGTTGTTTTTATTTAGATTAACAGCTCACTATATAATTAACACATTAGCTATGTACCTGTGACAAACCCTGATCGAAGTTTGTCATAATCTTGGAAGAATTCACTGACACGTATTCTCTTTGTTTGAGCAATTGTCCGGACACTGTCCTCAACATTTGATGCTACTGCAGCAGCTGCCATGGTGGTATGTGATCCACTGAAGAGGAGGCAATAATATAACAAAATTAGAAATGGGGGCAGGACTTCAAGAATACTGTGGATACAGTAGAATTCTGCATGAACTTGGTTTAGAACATCAATCATTGTAAAATATATAGCCTACATTAAAAGCTTGGCATCTTTTTTATCTCAGAGATATAATATTATCAAAATAAAAATCAAATTATAAATTTGTAAACTGATATTATTTTGGTTGATTCTATTGATTTTCATTGTGTCTTTACTTTCCAACCCTTGAAAAGAGTAGGACTTGGACAACAGTAAGCCTACTTATAGTACATTCGAACCTGCCTTGACGGCCACCTGTATAATATGGCCATCTGTGCAAAAGGCCACTTTCCTTTTCCATAAAAGCAATTAATCTTGTTTAAAAGTGTTTCAGGAGGAGAACAGGTAATTTTTTTTAAAAAGTATAAATCAAATTAACAAACATTGGTCTGAAAATGCAATTTAGAAACCAGTCATAGAAAAATTGGAGTAGATCTAGCCCATATATGTCAAAGGGATAAAATCTTATATAGATTTATATATGTGGTGAAGAAGGTCAAACTCAAAAAGTAGAAAAACCAGTATCAAAAAGGTAGTATCAGTATTGTACAATAAGGTTTGGTTAAAACTGACACCCATATGCTGCCAATAGATTGATGCCATAAATGAGTTTTGAATCAATGTTTCCTGGCAACAAAGTTTAAATAAATTCAAAACTATCAGACATAATTTTGAAGGCTCATATATCTAGATTTAATATGCACAAATTTTACTGGCAGAAGCTATGTCTTATTGCTTTGGCTTTTAATAACAGAGAGTGTCTTCAAGACACATCCCATGGTTTTTGTTTGACGAGAAACATATTAACAACCTTCTTTTCTGGTGTGAATCTTGATATATTATAAAAGCACAAGAGCATATATGCAACCCCAAAAGAACAAGCGGCTATTCAAGAGGGGGGGGGGGCATCGTTTTTCAAAACTATACTTCCAACGCCATGGCCAAGCTATGTCCTAAGAAGGTACATACATACTGCTAGGCCTGCTCAACTCTATATTATTATGCTGCAAGTATTCAGTCTTAATTCTAGCAATAGATACTTAAGGAGAATGCCAAGGTAAAAACTGGCAAGGGATCTCAAATAGATACTTTCCGTAAACTTTTCGGAAGAGTAAAGCACGACTATTCAATCATTGAGTACCAAATCCAGCCAGTCAATGGAAGGGGAGGCCGAAGCCGAAGCCGAAGCGAAGCGGAGGAGACGGAGACGAAAGTCAGGTGTGTGGAGAAAGTTGAGACTATAATTATAAGACACAGCTTTCACATAATTGTAGACCAAAAATATACTTAGCAGAAAACTTGACGTATGTGTCAAAATTACAGGTTTTCTTAGTGATTCTGCACTCACCCTAAATCTTAAAATCCGCCGTGTTTTTCTTCAAGCCTCGAAGGTTTCCTACTGAGGGAAACAGGGCGTCAGATGTTGCTTGGTTACCGCTGTCGTTCACGTCTTCTTCCGGGTCACCATGTTTGGCTCAAAAACCGTCATCGTTTAATAGAAACGACTCTTTCTGCAGCCTTTCTACTGCTACTCCTTGGCTCCTCCTAACTGCTGTCTTTCTGCCACACCCCTGGTCCTCTGGTAGGAAAGATCTACACCTAGTCTTCTCGGACAACGGCCAAAAATCTCGGAGGGCCCGTGTGCAAGTTGCGCACGTTAAAGATCCCTTGGTGGTCTAAAATCGATAAGAGTAGGCTGCGGCCGCCACCCCGGTAAAATTCAAAATTTCCTACCACTGAAAATATTAGGTGTCTCACGTGCGCTCATATGACCTTATGCAGTTGCGAGCGCCGTAAAAAACACTTACCAAACAAAAAAAGAAGCCGCTCCCTCGTCGCAGGCCTTCAGATCGCCGGCCGGAAAATATCTGGCGTTGCCAGATGGTCGCTGGACTGAGAACCCTTCGATACCGAGCAGATTTCACGTTTCCACGCTCAGTTTTACCGGGAAGTTGACAGGATTCCCGCCATTCTGTCGATATCCAACACTTGATCGATCAGTAAACTGTACTTGTAAATGGGACCTAACTGAATTACCCCCCCCCCCCCCCCCCCAAGCGTCGCTTTGCACTTTGCAGTCACCGCGGGTCAATACTGTGCTGCGCGATTTGGAGAGAAAAAAAACTTCATCGAAGCTTCGAAGCGTGAGGTCACTATTCATTCTATTCGAAACCGTGTTCGAATAGTTTGTCTTTTTTTTTTTTTTCTTATACATGTGTTATGAGCCTTACAATCGCTATTCAACATTCGTCATTCACTATTTATAGCACCTCTCATCAGAGATTCTGAGCTCAGGGTCCAGTAGACGTCTGCCTCTTCACTTGCCGCGGCTTGTGCATCGCGGTAGCCTAGTGCTAAAATTGCTCTAAGAAAAATGCGACTATGACATCATGAGAGGAGGGGAGAGGGGAAATCATGTTTAATTAAAAATGTGATCACGTGACCAGCACTGCTCATTGTCTTTCATTAGTCTTTGACACCACCCACCCCTAACCGCACCTACTCATCCAATGTGCAAGCTAAAAGAACTGCGTATGTGGTGGCTAGCTGATGTTGTTTTGTTTTTGGGTTGTTTTTTTAATGCGACTAGATCTATAGGTCTATTGGTCCCCGTGGCCCTAGACTCTCATGACACGCCGCGATTTGATGACGTCTCATCAAGATTCATAGCCTTAGGTTATATCATTATACTTCTTCAACTGGCAATTTAAATTGCGCAAGAAGAGCTCGCAGTATGTCAGCCTACCAAAAAAAAAAATGTTGCGCTTCCAAGCGACGGTCTGTTGAGCTGTTCATAATAAAATGAGTACATATATATTTACTATAGCCTTTTTTGGGGGGGTCAGTGTTTTACGGCGCTTGCAACTGCACGTGGGACACATGAAACATTTTCATTGCAGTCGGGGAAATTTTGAAATTTGGCCGAAGCCTGCTCTTATCGACTTTGGACCACCAGGAGGAATCTTTATGCACAAATAAGGACCCCCGAGATTGTTCGCCCTTATCCGAGAAAACTATATAGTAGGTCTTACGTACGGTACCACAAAATCAGGGGTGTGGCTGAAAGACAGCAGTAGAAAGAGCCTAGGATCGGTAGAAGTAGAAAGGCTGCAGAAAGAGTCAAAAGCCAAGATCTCGAGGAGGTGGCAAAGGGGGTGAGGGCAGAAAGTGGAGACGAAAGCAGAAGACATAACGATTTCTAGAGAGCATGAAAGGGCGTGGAAGGAGAAAATTTTAGAGAAAAAAATGTTTCTTCATTATCCGGATTCAAACCCCGAGAATCTATTTATTGAGAGTTGAACACCTTACCATGATAGATAACCCCACAGGCCCAGTTTGCCACTGGCCCAGTTTGTCACAGGCCCACGACCCCGCCTCGACTGTGCCCTGCATGATGGAAGTTATCACTGACACTCTCAAAAAAGAGTTAATGAATGATTGAATTTTATTTTTCAACTGTTTTTAAAGAAAGAACATTCATTGTTGATATTTGACAGAGTAATTTGCTTTGATTCTCATACAAAAAGGAAAAAAATATTGAGCAACACAAGCTGAATAGATGTTTAAGAGGGACTATCTTTACAACACCAATTTGAAGGTGGAGAATAAAAAAACTTAGTTACCACTAGTGCTAGAGTACAGTAATTATGACTGTCATCAATACTCAAATACTTAAATGAAATTGTGGCAAACTGGGTCTGTGACAAACTGGGCCTATGTCAAACTGTAGTTTGTAATGTGACAAACTGGGCCAGTGACAAACTGGGTAAACCTCCATATAACATATTATGATCACCAGACTTATGATTTTATGAGTCATACGCTGAAAATCTAAAATCTACCGCACCCGAGGGGTTTCGAGTACAATGTACGCTGAGCTATCTCTCTCTTGCCCTTTTTAACTCCCAGTGGAGCACAGGCCATCAACAGCATTACTCCAGCGAAGCCTGTCCTGAGCATCCTTTTCTATCTGTTTCCATGATGTCCCCGCTTTTTCAATTTCAGCCTGTACCGCTCGTCTCCATGTCATCTTTGGTCTTCCCTTCTTTCGTTTTCCTTGTGGGTTCCATGTTCCTTATCATTGGTGGGGGCATATCCCTGGATAACATGAAGGTTGATGTCTCGCTGAGCTATAATCAAACCTTAAATATTATGTGATTTTATGCATTGACATTTTGGATTTTTATTCTTTATTTTTTATATTATACCAAAAAAAAAATTCCTGTCCCAGTGGGAGCGATACTCATTTCTTATCTGGGATTGGCCGTCCTGAGTCCTGACGGATAGGATGCATTGCGACAGTCAAAACCTCTGTCTCCAGACAACGTCTGCAGGTTGGTACTTGGTTGGCTATAATTTACAGGCCCGTCCGTCAACTCTTTTAAGTTGTTTTACTAGATCTATTATAATAGTAATCTCGACTCGCGGCATTTGTCCGTCAGTTTGTTGTCATCAAACCGGGTTTAGTGCTTAGACCAAGGAGGTTACAGTGCCTTGGCTTAGGCCTATATTAGGCCTATAGTAAGCTTACATAACAATATCTTACAAGGCCAGTCCATGCAGCGAAGTTGAGTGTAATTAGTGTTAGAAACCATTCTCTCGCCATTTGCTGTTTTGATAATTTCGGTGTCTCGTAGGCTATCATGTCATTATTTAAAATTGATGCCAAGATTCATCTGAGGCATTGCATAACGGAAATGATAGACCTTTGGCATGGCTTTTATACACCGTCCAAGTCTTATGGTAGACTACCATGATAACATGGTTGCCCACGATACGTATAGCCTATAATTTTAACGGCATTAATTGTAGACTTAATTTATTGTTATTCGTACACGTATTAATTATTATTATTAGGCTATTGTTATGATGATTATTTTTATAATTATTATGACTACTAATTTGTATGCTGTCATCATCATTATTATTATTATCATCACAATTATTATTATTAATTATTATTATTATTATTTGTAGGCTAGCTCTGAGAGCATACAATATTAAATATTCTGGATGGAGAGCCAGAGGAAGACCAAGGCGACGATGGAGTGAATCTGTGGCAGACACCCTTAGGCCTAAAGATCATGGGATGTCCCTCTTACAGGCCACACGACTTGCTGCAGACAGACACATGTGTCTCCCCGCGACACCCCAGGGTACAAGCGGAAGAAAAAAGTAAAAAAAAGTAAAGTAAGTAAGTAGGCTAGTTTAGCCTAGTTGTATAGTTTTAGTTGGAATATTGTATCGTATATAGCCTAGGCCTATTGGTGTGTGTGTGTGTGTGTGTGTTTGTGTATGTGTGTATGGTCAACATAATAGTATTTGTAGGCTATGGGAGGGGGGGGGGTGACTTTAAGTTGTAGTTTTATAGTTTGTGGGAAATGCATGCAATAATACTAATAATTATTATTATAATAATAATAATAATAATAATAATAATAATAATAATAATACATGATGTAACTCGCATTTCGCGACATTCCTTTGTTCTAGACTAGGCCTAGGCCTAGATAAAGTCGTAAAATTCTCTTTGCGCCTTTTGATAGGCCTACGAGAAAACGCGAGACAACATTTGCATAATTGATCACGTGACTCGTTCTTTCTTTCAAGACGAGGCCGGTTCGAGAGAAAGCCGCGTGGGTAGGGTCGTATATAGTTTGAGTTAAATTTTCTGCTAAAATCATAAAAATGGCTGATGAAATGCAGCAAGATGAAGGCTTCGAACAGTTTGATAGTCAAAATGGAAATGCAGAAGCAGCCGAACCTACAGAAGCCGAACCCGAACAGATTGAACAGTCCACTGGTGGAGGCGGCGGAGAGGAAGATGAGGACGATGAAGACGACAGGTGAGTCACCTTTGTTTCCTTTCTTACATTTTGAGGCATGATTAATTTGAATTAGAGAGCTCTCAGACCAATCTAGAGATCAAATTACTGAACCCGAAATGATTTATTGCATTGTTTATTTGGAAATGGGAGCAGATTTTAGTTTGTGAGTTTTATCGTACAGGGTATCAAGCTCGGACAGTAGATTAGATTAAACTGTACTGTGTACACACACTGCATGCGTGGTCCATGGTTTGGAAAATGGCCGTGGCTAGAATCTAGTGGCACTACTACCGCACTACCATGAATAAAATTTGTCTTATTAGACTAGATTTAAATTTCTAGATCAAAGATTCTAGATCTAATCTAGAATCTAGAGTTGGATTTGATTATTTGTCAGCACTTCTTGTTACTTGGCCTACCTTCCGCCATTTTGGTTGTCCCTGCTTTTTTTTTTCAAAAGCAGATAGCCTAGAATCTAGATTCTAGATATCTAGATCTAGAATCTAGATCTAGTTGACAACTAAACGCCATTGGCAGATATATATAGTAACGGCCATCTTGTTTAACGTCATTGTCTTGAGGGATTCCCACTTTGTTAGTCATGAGGCAACATGACCGCATGCCGGCAGCCTGCCGACTCTGATTTTCTTTGCAAGTTGCACTGTACGAGTACGGTTCGGTTGTCTGGGTAAATTTTTACTTTCACTCCCGCACACAGATGCACTGTTTCAGGGGTCAAACTGCTGTACTGTTTGCTGCAGATCACACATAAAGTCATAAAGCCACTAAAACTGTCGCAAAGCAATTATTTTCAAGACAATTTCAAATCTAACTAAAATATCAAATTATGGGTAAAAACAGGGGGGCATGCCCTCCTGTAACCCCCCAGATTTTCTTTTACCCCGATTGGTCCAAAGCATGTCTATCTCGGTTAAAAACAATCAAATATTTCAAAAACTATTCATTTGCGACGGAAATGAAGTTGATATTCGAGTTCAGCGCATCAATATTTAGTAGAAAATAGACAACTGGTAGCTGAGTGTGAGACGGGAGGGAAAGTTAAAAAAATACTGTTGTCTGTGACTGCAGCACACATGCGATTAAACGTACATCAAAGTTTAGCCGCACCCAGATCTAGATAAAACTATGCATCCTCGACTGGATATTCAAAACTTTGCGCTGGAGTTAACTAGAATACGTAAACTACTGCAATTTCATCATTTGTAGGTAGCCTAGATATCTAGATCTAGATCTAGTAACATACTGGCTTTAGGCCGTCTGTACCGATTTTGATGGCCATTTTGTATAATATTCGATCTACTAGAGTTCAGAGCGGTAGCTCGTTACGGAAGTCCTCCCCCGGAATTAAACGCGAGAAAATTAACAATTACCAGATCGCGTAGTAGAGAATCTTTGGGTATTGGCTCAACGACACAGTGCAAATGATCAACCGCTTCGATCCGGATCGTTTCTTTTGTTTTATTAGCCAAGGCTTCCAGTCTTCCGCAATTTTGCGGATTTCCGCAAATTAACAGAATTCCGCAAATGGAAAAATTTCCGTGAAAATTCGTGGCCCCCAAAAAATATTTTCAGAAATGGGAAATAAAAAATTTCCGTTATTACCAATAGTCAACAATAATAGCCAACCATCACCGGAAGTACTCTATTTGAAAGTGTAGACAGTGTCACTTTCACTCTCTAAAGCTCAAGAAGCAGAGCACCAGCTCTGTAAACAAGAGGGGAAAATGACAGATTGTGGTTCAATAGGTCTTGGGCCTGCCAAGAAAAGAACTCTAAATAGAGCTTGATTTTTTTTTTTGCCAGTCTTGTTTGTAAGTATTGTTGTGGATTTAAGTTGAATATAAGCTGTCAAGTTATTTAGATCTAGAATCTAGACTAACTTACAAAGAGGACTCAGTAGGACGCTGAGCTGCAAATGGGGTAGATCTACATAAGGGGAAGGGGCCTGGAAACTGCCAGTGCAAAACGGCGCGCTACGCAAAATTCGTCGCTATTAGAATCACAAATCAGATAACGCGGCAGGCATCCCCCTTGCAGGGTCAAACAAGATGGCTGTTTCTGTTAATATCGGCCAATGGCGTTTATTTGTCGATATAGCTATCCGCTTCTGATATCTAGATCACAACTAAACGCCATAGGCTGATACTTAAAGTAACAGCCATCTTGTTTGTCATTCCCGCTTTGTCGGTCATTGTGGCAACACAACTGCATGACGGCAGCCTGGGGACTTGAATTATTTTCTTTGCAACTTGCAGAACTGTTCGGTTCAATTGTCTGACGTGATTGTGCAGCACCCATCTTCCGCCAAGATTGATTCTGATGCTGTACACTAGATTTCTACTGCGTAAACTGAGGCGAAGACTACGAGTAGGCCTACATATAAAACAAGTTCAAAGTTCAACGACGCAGTACATATGATCGTTTCTATCCGGGTCGCTTTTTAAAGTTTTGTAAGCACAAGAAATTTAGCACTTACAAACAAGAAATTGGACCCAAGAGGACACTGAGTTGCAAAGCAAATGGAGTAGATCCAGCCTATTTTGAGACTGAGGTGCAAAAGCAATAGGCGTATGCCAGGGGGAACCACTAGGAAAGACTCAAGAGAGGGAAGCTTGGAAACTGCCAGTGCAAACCGCGCGCTATGTAAAATAACTAGATCTAGGCCCATTTTAGAATCACGATCAGATGATGCGGCAGGTATCCCCCCTGTGAGGTCAAGCAAAATGGCTGTTGTTACTATAAATATCGTCCAATGACGTTAAGTTGTCATTTTCTAGCTATCTGCTTATTTTTGTTGTTTTTTTGTCCTAAAAGAAGGGGGGGATTTTGCCCCCAAAACAATGATTCAGAGAAGCACAGTATCGATCTAATTATTAAAAATTAGATTATTTTTTCACCAGTAACAAAACAAGTAATCAAGCAATAGGTCATTAGGATGAAACCAACAACTTACTTCATGTGTCTCAAAATTGACGAGTGTTTCATTCTATCGTGATACATTTTTTTGCTGTAGGTACACATATGGCAGTTAAAGGTTTAAAAAAAATTTCAAACCTAATTTTAAGCATTAAGTTCTGTGGGGAAAGGGGAGGGGGTGGCATTCAACTTTGTAAGTCATGTTTTGTTTGCAAGTGAAATGCGCTAAGATGAAAGAGCTACTCTGGTCAAATTTGGTCGCTTTTAAGGTCGCTTTGCCCACAAGGGGGCAATCCCAGAAAATGCTGTTTTGAGAAAATCGAAGGTAACGTTTTTGGACCTTTATTCAGCTTCTTTAAAAGACATGGACAATTTTCTCAACAACTATACTTCTCCTACGGGTGGGGCAATTCCCACATTTGGTGTAGGCAAAGATTTCTGGAAACCCTCGAAATCTGAGTTAGCCTGCTTGTCCTCAAAAACGACCATTTGATGATAAAACGGTTACTTTGTGATTTGATATTTTTAAAATTAAAAAGTGCTTTTGTCAGGACTATTTCCCTATGTGATCAGGTCTATTTGGCCAATTATGGCGATGGGCATCCTTTCTAATGTAGGCAATGTTTCCAATCTTTGACATTACATGTAGCCTTCTAAAATTTAAGTGGAGTTTCCTTTTTGAAAAGGTATCTGCTTTTTCAACACTATAGATTTCTTCAGAAAAGGATCCAATTTACTTGGGTTCAGAACCATGTCTTCTTGCATTGTGTTAGTCGTATAATGTAGTGTTAGCTGGGTTTATAAATATGAGCTGCTGTGCCTGTCAAGCGTTATGCCATAAGAGCTCAGAGCTGGGTTTCATTTAAGGCTTACTTGTGCAAAGCAAAGCGACCTGGGTCGCTCTAGTAGACTAGTTTGCAGAGCCGAGAGGAAATGCGACTTTCTAACATGAAACAAGTATAATTGTCTCACTTAAAACCTCAAGCTGTAGACTCACTGTTGAGTTTGTACCTGCTGGCTTTACTGTTGGTGCCAAACTTTCCTTCTTGTTAATGTTAAACTTAAAAAATGTAGGATATTTTTTTCCTCACCCCATTGTAAATTGCTCTTAAGTTGTATTGGGAAGAGATATTGACACTAACTTTTTTAATTCATTTAAAATGTGAGAGGTACACCCCCAGAATTCAAATGATCAGTTTTTGAGTATTGTTTATTTTATCAACTTTTGAGGATTTGTTTGGAAGTCGTGCATGTTTAAGTTCTAAGCTAACCTACTACTTTTGTCTTTTCAGAAAAGTCTTTGTCGGAGGATTGAGCTGGGAAACAACCACAAGTAAGTTCAGTAAATTGTTGCGCAACCCCATCTTATATGTACCTCTGGCTTTTACCCGTTAAAAAAAAAGGCTGGTTCAGCCGACAAGAATGTTACTTTTTAAAGGTTGGGGGAGGAATTCCGTAACGGTCGGCAACTATGAAACAGTAGGATAGAGGGTTTGGGGTGGGGATAGCGGTAGGGGCAAGGTTAGGGTATGGTCTCTTTTTTTATTGTATTTGTTGGGGTGGTCGCTCGTTGCGGAAGTCCTTCCAAGGTTGATATTGATGGGAAAGGTATACCTTTGTTTAATTACACATATTACAATTTTAAGTGACCAAAGGAAATTCTGTCGTGTGAGTGTTCTAATACATGTATTTCTTTACATCGTATTTTTTTTCCAGAGGATCTCAGGGAATATTTTGAAAAATATGGAGAAGTCACCAACTGCACACTTAAAACAGATCTCGAGACAAGAAAATCCAGAGGATTTGGATTTGTCGTTTTTGGTTCACCAGAAAGTGTAGACAAGGTATTAGTTTCTAACATCTTTTAAAGGTTGAAAAGTTCTTGACATGGCTGTACTATCATACTTGCTTTGGGGGGTGGGGTATCATATGAAAATGAAGTTTAGTTCAGTCAGTCGACTTCGCTTTTTAGCAAATTTTAAATTTTCATTGAAGTAAAAGTGATAATACTGATGTGGTTTAAAGTAATTTAGAGCACACTGTGTATAACTTTTTTTTTCTTTTGTATTTTTTTGTTGTTAAAGTAGAATAACAAGATATTTCAACAGAGGATTGTAGTGAGTGTTTTTCTCTGTTCTCCCTCTTCTTGTGACGGGA